TATCCTTCATTACTATCTTCTTTTGTATTAGGTGGATATATTCTAATGTATTATTTTTATTCCATTGTTGTTTTAAAAATATATATATTTTAGTTATTTTCTTAGTGATTGCTCTGAGGATTACAATTCCTTCCTTAGATAACATTGTAATTTAAATTAATGGCAACTTAATTTCACTAGTATATGAAACTTTGCTCCTATATAGCTCTGTTCTCTCCTACTTTGTGCTCCTCCTGTCATACAAATTACATTTGTGTATATTGTGTACCTATATATAGTGATTTATAATTACTGAATTATGCAGTTGTCTTTAAGTTGGATAAGAGAAAATAGAGTTACAATGCATTTATACATTTTTTTAAATTTGCCTATGTAGTTACCTTTACTAGTGTTCTTTATTTTTTATATGAATTTAAAGTACTATCTAGGTCCTTTCATTTCAGTCTCATGGTCTTTCTTTGGTGTTTCTTGTAGGGCAGGTGTGCTAGTGGCACATTCTCTTGGTTTTTGCTCATTTGGGAATCTCTTAATTTGTCCTTCATTTTTGAAGGATCCTTTTTCTGCTTTTCAGAACTGCTGGTGGAAGGTCTTATTCTTTCAGCACTTTGAACATGTCATCCCACTGCCTCTGTCCTCCATGGATTCCGATGTGAAGTAAGCTGTTAATCTTCCTGAGGAGTCCTTGTGCATGAAGAGTTGCTTCTCCCTGCTTTCAAGATTTTCTGTCTGTCTTTGACTTTTGGAAGATTAATAATGGTGTGTCTTGCGGTGGATCTCTTGTAATTTGTGCTCTTATATTCTACTTGTGATTTGTTGAGCTTCTTGAATATGGAAGTTTGATCATATTTGGAAAGCTTTTGTGCATTATGTCTTCAAATATTCTTTTGGACCCCTTTATTTTTTCATCCCTGAGACTCCCATTATACATGCTGGTGTGCTTGATGCTGTCCCAAGGGCCCTGAGGACTTGTTCATTTTTCTTCATTCTGTTTTCTTTCTTTTCTTCAGATTGGATAATTTCTGTTGACTTAGCTTTCAGTTCAGTTGTTCTTTATTCTCCCTGCTCAGATCAGCCATTGCACTCCTCTAGGGCCATTATATTTTACAACTCCAGAATTTTTATTTGGTTCTTCTTTAAAATAGTTTTTATCTCCTTGATATTCTCCATTTTGGTTAGACTCCATTTTTTTTTACTTTATCTAGTTCTTCAGGGATGGTTGTTTAAGTTCTTTGAACATGTTACAGAACCAAGCTGGAACACTGGCGGAAAAACCAAGCGGCACTCAGCGGTCTTGGTGGGTTGGAGATTTATTTTACACTAGTGGGCTCAGAGGAGACTGTTTCGCCAAAGGTGTCAGCCCAGAATGCAAGTGGGGAGGGTAATTTATAGCCGACAGCCTCCATATCTGTGGGAGTTTTCACGCGCACAGCAAACAAAGGAAGAAGAAACCGGAGGAGGGGTCTCTAAGCTAGAGACCAGAGTTTGTTTTAGTCCAGTCAGTCATCTTTGGTGTGCTTTATCCACTTCTCCAACATTCCCCCCCTTTGATGCCTTTTAAAAAAATTTTTAGGGGCGCCTGGGTGGCGCAGTCGGTTAAGCGGCCGACTTCAGCCAGGTCACAATCTCGCGGTCCGTGAGTTCGAGCCCCGCGTCGGGCTCTGGGCTGATGGCTCGGAGCCTGGAGCCTGTTTCCGATTCTGTGTCTCCCTCTCTCTCTGCCCCTCCCCCGTTCATGCTCTGTCTCTCTCTGTCCCAAAAATAAATAAAAAACGTTGAAAAAAAAATTTAAAAAATAAAATAAAAATAAAAAAAATAAAAAAAAATTTTTTTAGTAGGCATCACCTTTCAATTTTACAGGTTGGTACTCTCAGAAGGCTAAAATATACAGGTTGGTACTCTCGGAACGCTTGGAGTACTTTGGCAAGCAACAGTGTTTTCAATAAAACATACCATGGCATTCAGTATACAGGGGCCAATAGATACAAGTAAAATTATGGAGAGGAGGGGCCCTACCAGGGCAGGAAGCCAGGATGCCCAGTCTGTGAGATCCCATCCTTTCCATTGATTGATATTTTCCTGTTGTCTATGTTGAATTCTTTCCTTGAGTTCCTTAACCTTAGTTGTAACTATTCCTGACTGGTTTACGAAATAGCAACATTCCTCCCCCAGAAAGATACAAGTCCCTCCTTTTTCTGAAGTGAGGAGGTCCAGGGCTCACCTGTTTTAGAGGGTCACTGCTGCCAGAGAGTTTATTTGGCTTTGTAAGGTTACCAGAGGATCTGCCACCTATTCCATGTCTTCATTTAGCTCTTGAGATAGTCTATGGTATAGTTCTATGGATGAACCTATGCCCCCTCTTCCAGTTCCTATTCCTGTCGCAATTCCTGTGCCTATCAGAACGGGTAGCAGGACTGCCCATTTAGCCCAGGAGGTGGGGCTAAAAGTTGTTAGGAGCTGATCTTCAGTGTATACGGATATCTCTGGGGTTAGGAAGATGGAATAACATCTCTGAGTCCAGTTGGCCTGTAAGCATTGGTAGGCCAAATTAGAACATAGATAGAACACCCCAGGGGTTGAACATAGGGTTGTATTCCTCTTTAAGGTTATATTTCTTCCGTATAGAGAGGTACCGTTCATACCTTCAGGGACAGATTAGATTGTTGGCATTTGTGAGATGGATCCCAGTGGCCAGGGGTCCAATTAAGACAGAAATGTTGGTTTTGAGATTTTCAGGAGCTTCCTAGGTAAAAGGGATAGGAGGGGCTAAGTAAGCCCTCCTGCTGAGGGGAAGCACATCCAGCAGGTTTGGGTGTGATTATCTATTTTATGGAGGACTGGTAAGGTAGTGTTAGTCCAATGTTGGAGTGGGGAATTGGTAAGCATCTGATTGAGGGCTGAAAGGCTCAAACCCTGGTAGGCTACCAGGGGAGTGGTCACCTTTATGGCTTATATTACCCTGTTCTGGGTATCCTTTATAACCTTTTGAAGGGCCCTGTCCTGTATCCCTTCCCTGCCCGAGATTCCCCCATTGAGGAAGGTAAGTGTAACAAGACTTCCCTCTCTGGAAGCCCTTGTTGTCACATGGGTTCCTGACATTTTGGGTTATCTCTACAGTCCAGTACTTAGTCCTTGGGGCACCAGGTAGCTGACAGAGAGTGGGTGTTTTTCCCTTGTAGCAATCTTTGTGGAGGGAGGTGAAGGCGCTGAATGCCCTTGACTCCCTTATTGTCATATAGCCATCCTGGGGGCAAAGTGGGTAAGCAACAGTTGTAAGGGTGAGAGAGGTTATCATAATATACAGGCAATACTTAATAATCCTCCCATCCAGAGGAGGTATGTGAGACCCAGCATGCATCTTTTGTCCCATCTCTAGCTTGTTGGTGCAGTCTCTATTAGCCCAACAGTAAGAAGTTAGATGAGGGCTATGACACCAGTGAGGAGCAAGGGCTGGCAGAGTTGCATCCAAACCCCTGGGCTCAGTCCACATATTGATTCCTTAAGCTTCTGTCACGCAGGCCAGCCAACTTCCAGGGTGTGGCTGGAGCAGGGCTGGAGATCTCAGGGGCCAGTGTCTTTTTGAGGGTCTATTATTGCTGCTTTCTATAGCGGTTGTTAGTTTAGCGACCTTTCTAAATGACTTCTTTGGTTTGTATTCTGTGTTGTACTTAGCTCCTGAGGACTCTGCTCTGTGGTCAGGTAATGCTTGGTTAGAGATGTCCTTGAATGCCGTGTGTGGAAGTGATGAGTCCCTCAGTCTTTGCCTGGAGGCTCTGTGTGCATGTTGGGGCACACCTTCGGTACATAGTGCTGTCGTTCACAGCCCTGCCTTAGTCTTCACGTCTGCTTATGCAGAGCCTCCAGATCAGCTGGGGGTTAGAGCTTCGGGCCTTCTTGGCTCTTTCCTGAGCATATGCCCAGCTCACCATGAGTGGCCTTCTAGATTCCCAGGATTTTTAGGAACTTTTCAGAATTTAGGCATCTCATCTTTTAGGCTTTTGGTTTCTGTATTATTTACCCCAGCTATTACCCACTGCCTTAGGCAGCTTGAAGTGCTTATAATTGTTTTCAATAAATATCCCCCAGGGAAAAGGTTTTTTACACTATGTGAATTTTATAAGTCAGGTGAGGGGCACCTGGGTGGGTTAGTTGGTTGAGCTGTTGACCTGGGCTCAGGTCATGATCTCACAGTTCATGGGTTCAAGCCCCGAATCAGGTGCTGTGCTGACAGTATGGAGCCTGCTTCGGGTCTGTCTCCCTCTCTCTGTCCCTACCCCTATTCGCACTCTGTCTCTTAAAAATAAAGAAACGTTAAAAAATTTTTTAAATGTCAGGTGAAATACAGATAGTCTGTAAGTGGCATTTTGCGGTGAACCACCTGATAGGTCAAACAGCGATAGTCCTTTGAGAATGAGGCTTTGAAAGAGCTGCAGCCCATTCTGCTCTTTCTAGGCTGTTGGTTTTTAAGGGTGCTGCAGAGCTGCAGAGCAGGGGGTGGGACTAAGGCACAGTAAAAATATCACAAACACCATGGACACAACAATGTGCTGTTCTTGCTGAGGATTCAGCATTTTTTTTTTAAATAAATACTCCTGCATTGCTCCAAGCTTTGGTGAATTTCCAGAGTTCTGAAAAACTGGGTTCTGACATTTTTTGCTAGGTATCTTGTTCTTCTCTGGAGGAAAGAATTTTCCTCCACCTATACCACCAGTTTTGCTGACTCGAATTAGTAAATATTGAGTGCTCTCTTCTGTGATATTTTATTTTTCTCAAACATGCGCATGTTAAATAAAAACTGTTTAAATTGGGGTTGCAGGAGACCGTGTGGAGCAGTCCCTGAGTGAGAGGCTATTGACTGGGTAGAATGATGCCAGCCTCTGCTGGACAGAAGGGCCTGAGGGCTTACAGGGTATCAGTCCTATGGGGGTCAGGAACTCTGCTGATCAGCCACTATTGCTTTGTGTCTCCCAGGTTAAGGCTGCCAGGGGCTCAGCTCTGCTCACATGGATGGGACAGAGACCCGACAGCGGAAGCCAGAGGAGCTGGCTCTGCCACACGCCTTCAGCCCTGGAAGACTCTCTGGAGCCTCAGAAGATGGACTTCCGAGTGTGTCTGAGAGCCACAGGGTGGTCTCTAAACCACTGGGGTCTGAGTTCAGCAGGGAGACTGCCTTGTCCATTGGCCTTCAGGTGATGGTGCCCTTCATGTTTGCAGGACTGGGACTGTCTGGGGCTGGTATGCTTTTGAACTATTTCCAGGTAAGAGGAAAATAAATGGGAATGGTGGTGTTGGGGGCACTGTTGAATGCCATACCTGAAGAGTAGGCCTCTACACTTTGAATCCAGCTTGAGGGACAAGGGACAGGACGTCCTCTTCTTAAATACCATTTTTCTATAAATTGAGAGATTCTTTTAGTTACTGGTGACAGAGACTAAAATTAACCCAGGTTAAGCTTTAAAAAGACAATTTATTAGCTCATAATTGAGTGAAGCCTGGGTGGCATGATGGTCGGCAGCGTCCGACTTCAGCCAGGTCACCATCTCGATCTGCGGTCCGTGAGTTCAGCCCAAGGCAGCGTCAGGCTTCTGGGCTGATGGCTCAGAGCCTGGAGCCTGCTTCCGATTCTGTGACTCTTCCTCTGCCCTCCCCCCTTCATGCTCTGTCTCTCTCTGTCTTAAAAATAAATAAACGTTGAAAAAAAAAAAATTAAAAAAAAAAAAAGAAGGTGTGCTTCTGGGAACACACCCAGTTCCCACTGAAGAATCAGAAATGAAAGCCAGGAATGGTGATGTGCATTCCAAAGCTCTCTGCCCACCCTCTGCAGGCCTTCCTAATTGTCCTCCAAAGATACACTCCCAAAGAATCAAGGGGGTTGGAATAGATGAGTAGGTCATGCCGCAGGCCTCGGGATTCTGATTCTTTGGTCTGGGCTTGGGCTTGGGCTACACATTTCAGGAGCTCCCAGGTCATTCTGATGGCAGAGTAGACTGAAAACCACTGATGCAGTCCCACCTCTCATGTTTAGAGTTTAGAGGCCTGTACAGGGGCAGGGCCTTATTCAGGGTCATCTGGGAAACCACCTAATGCTTGACCCAGATTCCATCTGCTGCTCAGTGCAGCCCCAGAATCTAGTTCAAGGTCTTTGAGCTTTTCTCCTGTGCTAGCTATTTTTAAAATTACATTCCTGATCTTCTGGATTCTGACCCAGTAAACCATGTTATCATATTTTGTTCTCAAGTTGCATGGGAAAGTAATCTTTCTCATGTAATGACATCTTTTATTTATTTTTGGTGACAGTTTATGTTTTGATGGTTATAAAAGCAAGTAATCACAATAGAATGTTAGAACATTATAAAATAAAGGTCATTTTAAATTCTGCTTCTCAACGGTAGTCACTCTTAGCATCTTGATGACTATCCTTCTGAACTTCACTACTTGCATGTGTGTGTGTGTATTATGTGTGTGTGCATTTATCTTAATTTCTCATTTGGTTTTTTAAACAGAAATTAGAAATATTTTTTAATAATTAAGAACTTACTTAATCAGAAATCTGTTTCTATATGGAATTATGTAAATTATTGTCTGTTTCCATATCTTCTGTACTGATGAGAATGGTTCAAGGCCCACTGTGTATGATTATACATTGTATTAGGATGTTTGACCACATTCAAAACTAAATCACAGGAGTTGTTGAAGTCAGAAGAAAGCAATCGCTTGTTGGGGGTCCCTCCAGCTGAGTTCTGTGGGAGCCATGTGGTCAGTGTCCAGAGAAACCAGCCCAGCCCAGAGTGGTTCTGTCTGAAACCAATTAACGTCTCAACTCTTTTCTCTGAAATATGCCATTTGTGTCTGCCTCCTCCTGGTTCAGACTCTTGTTTGAACACAAGAACCCAAGCCACAGATGCAGGCAGCATCAGACAGGAGAAGGGTGTGGAGCAGAGAGCATGGAGGGTGGTGGAGGCAGTCTGCCCCCAGAGTTGGGAGCTGAGGGTCTTAGTCCTGCCTCTGATACTGACTTGGGGTGTGGTTTTGGGTAAACGCTCTCAGGGCCTTTGTTTTCTCATTTGCAAAACTGGTGTACTTCCTGCTGGATATCCTAGAGATATTTTGAGAGTTTGGTGATTGAACATGAAATCAGTGTGAAAGGGCAGTGAGAGGCACAGATGGGTACACAAGGGAATGAGATCTTTCATTCATTTGTTCATTCCTTCATTTGCAGGTCGTTGGGTGCTGTGTATGGTTGGTTGATCCTCATTTCTTGCTCCCATTCCTTGGGTTTCCTTCAGAGCACTTACCACAGGTCATAATTACATTTCCATTTTTATGATTATCTGCCACACTGAAAAGCTCTAAGTATGTGCTGTTCAGCTAACAGATGTACCACAACACTTAGACCAAGAGTCTGGCAAACATAAGGCCCTCAGTACTAATCTGTGGAGTAAGTGAATGAATACTTTCCCCTGCTCTGAAAGATTGTGGCCATGAATCAACCAGACTCCACCTCAAGAGGAGTACACTTTGGGATGGGAGTGTTGATGTATGTGCATTTCATTATGTCATTAGGCATATGTGGACTTCCCTCAGAGGGGTTCAAAAAAGAGCTTTGGTAATTCTGGGTAAGATGTTAGGCTCTGGCCAGGACACTGGAATGGCCTCAGAGATGAGAAGGCACCTCAGTTGGCCATGAGGTTTGGCAAGAGTTTGGCCTGAGCAGCGAGTGGAACATGCAGAGGGAGTAGTGTGAACATAGGCACAGCCCATGTGAGGGTCCACAGGAAGCTCCTTTTAAGACATGCGGTGGATGATCATGTACTAGGCAGAAAGAGGGCTCAAAAGGATGCTTCCCCCCCCCCTCCCCAAATTGTGAGAGACCTTGAATGTCTGGCCACAAAATCTGAACTCTCTCAGGTAATGAGTTGACAGCTATTGAGGATATTTGGGCAAGCAGGTCACTTGAAGACGTAATATAAGGTGTTAAAGAGCAGGTATTACTTTTGGTGGACAGAAGGGTTAGGAGGTAGTTAAGGGCTATGGTGAAGGTGGTGTCCATGAACTGGAGAGGAGTGGAAAGACATGGGGACAGGCAGATTTGATGTGGGGTTGAGTTGGTTGGGGAACGGGCAGTCAGAGTGCAGTTTGGGCTTCTGGCAGAACCATTTATTGAGGCAAGAGGCTTGGGGGAGGAGTTGGAAGGAACAAACGTGAAAGACTAATTGAGTTATACAGGGGCTACACAGAGCCTGAAAGCTCAGGGGAGGGGTCTGGACTAGAGAGAGGTTTGGAAATTGTTAGTTTCTCTGAGATGAGAAAAGTAAAGGGTGGGGATGAGGTTCCCCAGATGTCCCAATTATCTATTGCTATGCAACACACTGCATCCACATTTAGTGGCTTGTTTAAAGCTAGTCATTCAGTTTGATCATGAATCTACAGTTCGAATAGGGCTCTGTGAGAATGGATGTCTGCTGTGTGCAGCATCTGCTGCGGTGGCTTGCCAAGCATCGTACCCAATCCAGGCTAGCTCACTCACATGACATGACAGTTGCTGCTGTCACCTGGATCCTCAGCTGGAACACTCATACGTGGCCTTTCTGTGTGACTGCTTGGGCTTCCTCATAGCATGGTATCTGGGTTTCAAGTATGAGCATCTCAAGAGATGGGAAGTGGAGACTGTTTCTCAAGAACCAGACTGACACAGTGTCTCTTCCACTGTGTTTTACTGGTCCAGCAGTCACAGGTTGAAGGGAGGAGACAGAAACTCCAACTCCCAATGGGAGAATGTCCAAGAAGTTTAGAGCTCATTATGTCTGGCTCCAAGGAAGGGCTTAAAAATATCTATTGAATGAATGAGCAAATGGATTGTTTGAGGACAGATGTAGAGAGAGGAATATTTGGGGCATGAGGAAAATAGTTGTTGGAGAAGTTTGGCTGGAGCTGGGAGAGAGGTGGATAGGCCTGGGGAGGTCAGTAGGATCTAGATTGTGAACTCCAGGCTAAGGGGATGGGACCTGAGTGTGGGATAGACTATCCAACAGAGGGGAACCAGGAGGTTGCCCAAGAGGGCCCTGGTTTAGGAACAGGAGCAGAAGTTGAGGCTCAGATCAGGATCCTGGTCCAGGAGAAGTCCCACAGGGTCAGTAGGTCAGTGTGCTTCTGACCTTCAGCCTTGGGCTTCTTCTGGCTGTGACCTTGATCCCTGTTCCAGCCAACCCTCATGCCTGACATTCCATCCCTGCTACCTGTGGAATGCCCAGTGCACACCCAACAATAGACTTGCTGGCAGTCAAAGGTGATATCCAAGCCTACTCTCTGGAAGGGGGCAGTAAGCTGGGTATCAGGGCTGGTCTAACCTTTGTAATGGATGAGAGTGGAGCCTCTTCAGAAGCATCTTTAAAAAAAATTTTTTTTATGTTTATTTTATGTTTGAGAGACTGAGCATAGGTGGGGGAGGGACAGAGAGAGAGGTAAACACCGAATCCAAAGCAGGCTCCAAGCTCCGAGCTGTCAGCACAGCCCAATGCAGGTCCCGAACTCAGACTGTGAAATCATGACCTGAGCCAAAGTCAGACACTTAACCGAATGAGACACCCAGGTGCCCCTATGTTTATTTTTGAAAGAGAGGCAGAGCATGAGCAGGGAAGGGGAAGAGAGAGAGGAAGTCACAGAATCAGAAGCAAGCTCCAGGCTCTGAGCTGTCAACACAGAGCCCAACGCCGGGCCTGAATTCACAGACCTGAACTCACAGACCTGATCATGACCTGATCAGATCATGACCTGAGCCAAAGTCAGACACTGAACCGACTGAGCCACCCAGGTGCCCCTGGAAGTGTGTTTATTAGTTTTCTGGGCCCTTGAGAGTAAAGAGGGCTGCATTTCCTCTGTGAACATAGCTTCTTCATATGGTCAAGAGGCCTTGGATTCTGAAGTCAAGATGATCACAGGATGTGGCTTCTTTCTTGGGTACCTGCAGCCCTCTCAACCTTGAGGCATGAAACTCCTCAGGGGGGCTGTAAGAGTGGGTCCTTTAGGCTGAGATTTCTCCAGGCCTTTGTCTGCCAAGAGTAGAAGCAACTGGGGAGTGTATGCAGAGGCGGGCAGGATTCTTTGTGGCCCTCACCAAGGTCAGGCCTCGTATGGTTCTGTCTCCCAGGGTCTAGCCCAAGCCAGTGTAGGCTGGAAGGCTGGATGCTATCAAGGTCACTGTGAGAGACTTAGCTGAGGGACGTCCTGGATGACAGAGCAGCTACTCTCTGAGGAGAAC